TATATATATTATATATATACATATGTATATATATGTATATACATATGTATATATATAAAAAATATATATATATACATATACATATACATATATATGTATCTATACATATATATGTTAAAATAGTCAAAATAAAGAAAGATTTTTAAAAAAAAGCGTATTTGTTTAAATGTTTATATTTTTTATTTTTCAAATGTTTGATTAGGTCTGTAAGTTTCTCCTTATGTGATGATCACAGAAGCCGTTTTTGAGAGCGCAGAAAACCAGCGGCCCATGTTTAGACCCAACCCTCTGACACGAGCTGGGCCAGAAGTGACCACTGACATGGAAAACAGATGGTATAGCAGCGTCCAGGTGGACGTCAGCCAGACCTACGGCTTCACGCCCGACAGCTCTTTGGCATGAGAACTGTGAACCTGCTGCACAGAACTCCTGCGTCGACGACACTGCGGCCACTGCCACCGCCGCTGCCGCCCCGAGCCGGGGGGAGACGAAAAACGAAAGTGAAATTATGAGGAAATCCTCAGGCAATGCGGGAACCAGAGATGATGCAAAAGACGGAGCAGGTGGCGGGACCTGACAAAGACCTTGTGGGTCCGTGTAGACATGTTGTGATTAAGAGCAGATCTGACATAAACACAGCCAGACTCTGTGAGGCAGCTGCCACGGTTAATTCTCTGGATTTAAATGAATAGTTCAGTCGCTTTTTAAGTGAGCCCGTGCGAAGGCCGCGACTCTGGCACAAATACGAGGCCAGCTGCAAGGAAGAAAATATTTCATTCACTGAAAAAGATGCATCGAATGAAATGCACGTCAGCAAATATCTGTGACAGTTTATTCCCGTCTTTATGTCGCCTTTTAAACATCAGGGCCGCGTTGGGGAATGATAAAAAATGACGACACTAAAGTTGTAAATTTATGAAAATAATTTTCACAACGTCACATGAAAAAAAGTCACAATGTCTCAAGAGAAGTCATAAAGTAAGGAGGAAAAAAAAGTCGTCATTTTAGAAGAAAAAGGTCGTAATTTTAAGAGAAAAAAGGTCGTACATTTATAAGAATAAAGTCACGTCAGTTTGAGCATGTGAGGAAAACTCGTTTACTTAACGAGGTTTATGAAACCCTGGTTCACACCAGTTATCATCAATTCTAATAAATGCTATATATCTTGGTGAATAACAGGAGATTGCGATTTTTTTATGAGGTTCTTTCTTTGGTAAAGACAACGTTTTCCGTGGCTGGTGTGAGGCTGATGATCCAGAAGATGAGAAATCTCCTTATTTGTGAACCCAATACTAAAGTATTCAAATGTTCCACGTTTCTCTCACTGATGTTCAACGCTGTGTAGTTTTTGCTAGTCTCATCTAAACGTACGGCATTAATGTCGCAAAATTTATGACGTCATTTTTGTCAGGATTCCGACTTTTTTTTTCTCATAAAATGACAACTTTTTACTTTTATTCACTTTTGTCTCGTAACATTTTGACTTTAGTCTTGCAATTTTAAAACTTTATTTTTCTCAATGTGGCCCTAACACAACTCCAAAATTCCCTTATCTAAATTTACTACTTTATTGTCGCAAAGTTATAACTTTAATCCCGTAACATTCTTCGTGTTTTTTTCTTGTATACTGATGACTTTTCTTTTTGTATATTCACTTTTGTCTTGTAGACTTACAAC